TCCTACCACTTCTGTTTTTGACTGAATGACATGAGAGAAGTGACCTTTCTCATGGTGTATGGACACATCAAGGAAATATTTACCCATGTTTGAAAACCACACAATTCTATTTATAAGATCCATTCTAAAAATGTTCAAAGATCTGTGGACTGGTTGCATCTTCTCAGATCAAGTCCAGAGGCTTTGAAGGTCAGGAATAGCACTTTAGCCATCTAGATCTTGTTTGGTGAAATAAATATTTATTTGAAAACAAGGAAAAGAATGTGTAAAGAGTTGAAGTTTCAAATTACAAAGATGAAAGCAGATCCAGCATTAATTCACATAAAACATGCTAAATTGTTACATTTGAGTTACAGACTTTTTAGAATTCTGGAGAATGACTTTTATTATGTTCTAAACATTCCTACATTTTTAGTGCACAAAAATCTGACAATACCTTAGCATGAAACAGAATACTCTTGATCCTCTTTGTTCATATCACCTTACCATCATAGTATCTGTCTTTCATGAATCTAGTTAAGAAGTTTATTTTGAAATGAACCAGCTGATGGAATTCAAGTACCCTGTTCCTCCAGTTCGTGATGTCTCGTTCCTCAGAAATACAGGCTTTACTAGTGCCAGCTCAGGCAGTTTGTTGCGCTGTAATAAGTTCAGGGCAACAGTCCTCATCTTGATGGGTGCTCTTTCTGGGATGAATTTCTGAAGAAGAGAATGCAGACCTATTTTAAACTTCATCTTTAGCCGTGGATATTTAGTGTGGTATTCTTTCTGCTCTGAATAGTGATACTTTAGTGAAAATAATAGGAATAGGTGTCATTAAACCTTTGCCTGCTGGCTTCTTGGTATTTAACAGGAGTTAGCTAAACAAATTAAGTGTCTGGTTTTTATAAGATTAAGTATGTTTAAGCAAATTCATCAACATAATGGATTCTGGATGAAACGAAAATGGATTTCAAGGAATCATACTGGTGAAATAAGGAAGTAGGAAAAAAATACTTGTAAACTTAGTGACTCACTTCTTTGGTCAGTTGGTAGTTACATATTCAGTTGTCTTCAAAGGAGAGCTGAGATGACGCTACCCAAGTACTTTTGAAGATTTTACTGGATTACTGTAATAGTTTTAAATATAAAACTTTAGAATTAAGAAGAGTGTTTCAGATTCTGTTTTCCTCTTGAGAGAGAGAGAGAAAAAAAAAAAAAGGCAGTGGGAAAATAATAAATGAAAAAAATACCAGGACGTAGTCTTTTGCCATTTGAGAGGAGGAAAAAGAAGATAACACTTTGGTTCTCTTTCTGTATTTCATGAGCTCAGAACTTATCTTTGTTCTCTTACTTTCTTCACCAGACTGAAAATTATCTGCTATTAAGGCACTGAATTCTGAAGGAGTACTTTTATCAAAATGTTGCACGAAGGTGAATATAGTGTTAGCATGAAAGCAAGGATTGGAACATTTCCTTTTATCCGCTGAAGAGACACCAATTTAAGATGTTCAGACCATTAGCATATCTACTTTCAGAAATAACCAAAGATGGCTCATAAAATGTTTTTTTTTAGCTTACTAATAGTAAAATAGGATGTTGAGGGTTTCTTGTAGCACGTGGCCAAACGCTGAATAAACTACATTCAGATTAGTACTGCTTTGCCTGCTGCACATTTTTTTAGGCTAGAGGTTCTTTCACATCATTACAGTCCAACATATCTATACAAGTCTTTTAGAATAAGATGAGGTAGCACTAATGGAATTGTTTATGGTGGTGTAGAAATAAAAATTATTTCTGATTAGTGGCACAGTTTAATTTCAAGACCATCCCCTCCCTGTGAGTTTTATGTCCTAGGTGGAATGGAGAAATTCATCTGGTGGGTTGCCCCATACAAAAAGTGTGACTTGGAGATGATCTATTTGAGGGGTCCTTGTAGGCAATATGTTTTTAATGCTCACAGTGAATAAAATAGGTAAATAGTGAAGTCAACTGAAGCAGGGAAGGATGGTGCTTCCTATAACAAATTCTTATTCAGAAGCTTCATCCCAAGTGGACAAAGATCAGATATCAGCAGACTAACTTTATTCTGTCACTCCCTCTCAACTCATTCTGAAGCTAGAATGGGATCACACTGAAGTGGTGAAGTACTGAAAGTCCAAGGTCCACTAACAGTACGTAATATTTGCAGTTTGTGTACAAAGGAAAAGCTCATTTCTACTTTAACAGATTTTTTTTTTTTTTCTGAGTAGGATCTCTCTTGTTGAACTTTTTTTTAGTGTCAAAATATTTACAATAGTCGTGAAAGATTGAGGTTGGTACTCATATAAATAGGGAAAGAAAAATCGAAGTGACAAATACTATTCTTAGTTGTAGATGTCATAAAATCATCTATGCTCAATATTTTGAATGTTGTGAATCTTTATAGTGATTTGTTAGGTATTTACTGCAACTCTTGGAAAAAGGGAAGAGCATTATGTTCAGCCAATGATGACTTCAGTATTCAATGTATTTTTCAGACTATCCACTTTTCCTGTTTGTCTCAATTTTATGGACAGGCCTGTGACCTTCCTTTATTTTTTGAATACTTCAAAGAAAGAAGAGTAGCTTCGAGTTCTTCAGGTGCTGCTCTGGTGATTGTCTGAAAATGTGTGGTCCTCAGAATGTGGTATTGGTTTTTCATTTTTGGAAAACAAGAAATAATACAGGTCTGGATCACTATAATATTTCATTTGAGAGCTTGGATACGTGCAGAACAATACAATATCTAACACTTAGAAAATGGTTCAATTTCTAGAGTTCTCAGGCAAATTTTGGAGATTTTATTTATCTATGCACGTTTTACTCTTTTCCCTCAATAGTGGAAGGCAGCAGGACATTAATATTTCGTGGTAATTTCTTTCTATTGCACTTGGCTTAAATTCTCGCATCCTGTCCAAGAAAAAACTGTGATGGCATTTAGCATGTAATGTCTCAGTATCATGGGATTTGTTCTTGATATTGCTCTGTTGTCTCTCACTGAGTTTTGATTTGTTTTGTTAATGAATAAAAATTTTGATTTCCATTGTAACTCTGCTTGTGACCCTCCACAAAGTGATGATTTCAGTTAGGTGTGCTATAGTTCCTTATCAAAGAGTTACATTTTATAATGTTGAACATACCTTTTATTTTCTTATTTGATAAATTTTGATTCTTTGTCTTTATAATCTGTATATTAAATCCCATGTTTGCTCAGCTATGAAGTAAAATGTGCTGCTGTTACTGTTTCAGCATATTCAAAGTAGATCTGACCTGAGTTCTTCAAGAAACATGAAGTTGCATGAAATGTTCTTCATAAATGTTTATGCACTGAAAACTCTGAAATTTTTAGCACAGCAGTACATGTTTCAAGTTACTTTCCTATGCCTCTTATGAGATTAAAGGAGATAAAGGAGAAAGTCATACTGTGGTACAATTGCTGAGTTTTGTATTGAATGGCTACTATGTGAAGGATTAACATTTAAATTTATTTTATAAGCTTCCTAACAAAACCAACAATGCAAGTGCCTACCTGTATTAAAATCTATATCTTAAGGGTTAACTATACTACACAAAAAATAGTTAAAACTCAGTACTTTTAACTGTGTATGGCTTTGCCTGTGGGGATTTCTGTGAATGCTAATAAAGAAAGCCAATTAGAAACATGCCAAGCTTCTTTTCTTCTTTGGGCCTGCTCATCTATAGTATATGCAGAGATGACATTTTGAACCATGGGTCTCTTGAGGTTTAGTCTTGTAATCATGTATATATCCATACCTAGAAATGATAAACACATAGACTAGACATAATTCAACACTCAAGGTTAACTAAAGGGATGGATAATATACCAAGATCAATTGCCTTGTAGTTTTGCATAGCTATTGCTTTGCTTATCTTACTTCCAATTTAAAAAGTAAATTTGCCTTGGAAAAATAACTACTTAATCATCAGAAGCATCAATTACAAAAAAAATACATTTGCATTTTGCAGTTTTACAAACGTCTTAGTACAAAATATAGAAAATGTCTTCAGTTGCTAAAAAATCTTTCAGACTCTAAAAACCTGTTACACTTTCTTCTTGCCTTAAAATGATACACTTCGTGATCTGCATAATCTGTGTTAGTTAAATAGTCCTAGTGACGTTCTGCTACTCCAGACAATAAGGGTAATGAGTATATGAAGTTACTGATGTTTTGTGCAATGCAAGATTAAATTGATCTTTTGTAAATTTGATTGTCACTCTATTGAAGTTATGTATGCTTATAAACTATCTTGAATTTGGCTCAAAATTGGCTGATGACTGGAAAACAGAATATGTGAAGAAATATATATATACATATATATAATGGGATTTATATTCTTTGTGATCTCCATTTATTCTTCAGTTATCAAATCTATCTTCACTTATCCTTTGTGTTTGTGTGTTCATATTGCATGTATACAAGAGCATGCAAATTTAGGAGCAAAAGTCCACTTCCACTTTGGTTATGCTTTATCAGAAAAATTAATGAAATTCCAGTAATGTAACTTTCACTTCCACAAGTATAGACATCCTTAGATCATCTACATCTAACTCTATAATGCATAGCTTCACACTTTTGCTGTTCCTATATATTGTGCAACTGTTACTGTGGTTTTCGACATTCTGTGGTATATTAGGTACCTTGCAAATACAAGAAAGCTCATACATAAAAGTAACAGTATCCATACTTATAAATGGCAAAAATCACTTTGTCAAATATACTCCTTTTATGATATTGGATCAAGATTATTGTTGGTGATGCTGCAGAAACGATGAAAAAAAGCTTGAATTCTACATGTCAAACTGAGTTTTCAAAGTTAGGAATGGTGGAGGTTTTTGCCTTTAAAAACAAACAAAGACCTCTTTTTTTTTTCCTTGTTGAGCAGGGCAAATTTGAGAAAGATGACCTGAACAACAATAATCTCAGAATTTTATGGAGTCACTGTTTCTGAGTGAACTGTGCATTGTCTTTATATTACAGGCCTGGAAAGTAACATTTTCTGTAGATGTCAGCTTCTTTCTGGTGTGATGCTCCATTCTTCTGGTGACGTCACATGCAGCACTGAGTAATATTGGTAAAATGGAAGAGGTCTCTTAGAATAAGGTATGTTTCTTTGTTTTTCATGAGATTGGAGTTACTTTTCTATCTAATGTAAATTAAAGTAAATGAGTATTTAAATCTTCTAAAGTTTGGAGAAATACCTGACCTCACAACTATTGCTGCCATTGGTTATACTTCTAAAATTATCAGCAGAAGGTACATTCAAAGTATCTTGTAACACTGCAGCAGAATTCACCACTCATTATCACCAGCAGAACCTGGAAAGAGAAGGATATATTTAGATTCCTATAATTGGCTTTGAAATAAATGAGTGTCTAAAATATCAATGGTTTATATAATGGGAAGAATTCTTACAATTCTATAACAGGATTGTAGTTTTCAAGACCATTGCATTAGTAACAGTAGAAGCAAGTACA